TGAGGGGATGCTGCCCTGCCCCTCTCTCTGCAAGCAGAAGGTGATACTACTGCAACTTCTAGGGAATTCCAGACAGTGGAATGCGAGGAGGAAGGTCAGAGTCCAGGAGAGGTTCCTCTCAGGTGGCAAGCTGGCTGTTCTGCAGATGCAATACATGAAGAGTAGAAAGATCTCTGCGCTGCATGTATTGCCTCTCGATAGGAGTCAAGAAACTTCCTATGACGAGTCTTGTCAGATACAGAGTCAAGTTTTCTGCCAGGAGTACTCTTTTTGTTGTCCAACTCACTTCATCCTCCTAAGCTCTTCTGTATACCAGGGCTTACAATTAGGAGCGGGTTGGAAAGGACGCTTGGGAGCGATTGTGTCAATAGCCTTGGTAAGAACAGTATTCCAGGTATTAACCAAAGCTTCAACAGAATCACCGGTTTTATCAGTCATTAAACTCTCTAAGGCTCTCTGGAATCCAACTGGTACCATTAGCCTTCGAGGGCGGACCATTCTAATAGGTCCACCACCCCCAGAGGGGTGAATTGTGGTTCTTAGTTCAGCCTTGACCAGGAAATGATCCGTCCATGACAAGGCGGAGGTTTTTCAAACCATCGAAAGTAACTAAATCCATGTGGGTCCAGACCAAAGTGCTAAGGTACCACTTGCAATAGTCATCCCAAACTAGATGTGACACTGCAACACAGTGAACTGTTTAATGCCTGTATAATGTACTATTCCTTACCAAGTTGTCATAAACCATTCAAGAGCTCCACATTCCCCCCCCCTCGAGATAAATTAGTTTCACTGTTGTAATGCATACTTCTTTTGTCCACAGAAATAATATCAGCTTTTACACAAAGTAATGCAGGGTGGAAGGGCATGAGTGCATGTGTGTATGTGAAGAGGAAATCCTTGCATCATTTACCTTCCACAAAGGAAAAGCCCTTGAGGGACTTCAGAGAAAAACAGTGATATTTGGGACAGTACAGGGTTCTGGGTGGCCATGGGAATATTTTTGCATATTTTCATGTGTTGGGGAGCTGTTTGGATCTCAACAACAATTGCCCAAAAATCATGGCAATTTTTTTAAAAAAAATGAAGTGACTGGAGGGCTTTTGTTTCAAGGGCCACAAAAGGGGTTTCAGGCAATGCATGTAGCCTAAAGGCCACAATTTGCTCACTCTGCTTAATATAGATACACACACACACAACCTGGCCAGCCCACAAGCAAAAATCATCCACAGTTGCCTTGATCTAATAAAAGGCCTTTTTAAAGCTGGATAATAAAAACTACTTTTAATTTAATAAAAGCCCTCTAATAAAAGTACTGCACCTGATGTATCCTTTTCACCCTACAATAAACATTATAGCTACCCAGTCCATCGGAAGCATCAGCTTCTCTCTCTCTTTCTCTAATCTATTTATGGTGACTCATGTAATAAACTTGGCAAATGTTTCCAGAGGTGTTGATTCTTTTCCTCATTTTTGGAAGGAGACAATTGTTTTTTCTACCATCCCATCCACTTGCCTGACTTAATCAGCTAATGTTAATGTATCATAGTCATAAATATTCAGATATTTAGAAATAATGTTGTGGCACTGAAGGTGAATAAGGGTAACACATAGAAAAAGAGATTGAGCACTTATTGTTAGGGACATGGACCCACTTTGGGCTCAAGCCTAAATACCAAACCAGCTTCACTTCAGCAATTTTGTAGCACAGCCTAACCAAAGTGACTCTTCTCTGAACCACCCCAAAGTGATGTGGGCTGTTCCCGAGGCCTTATAATAGCCCCTCCTTCCACCCAGTTTTGCAAATTATTTAGCTGGTAGTCATGCAGACTGGCCCATGTGGACAGTTTGGCTTGGCAGTTATCCCCTTCAGCTATTGGGACCTATTTGGAGCTCTTGGAGCATAGAGATCTGCCAGTGTATTGGAGGTTTTAGGTTCTGGAGGAGGAGGACAGAAGGTGGTAACCAAGAAAAGAGTACACTTTCTAAGCACACTGCTGCAGTCAGTGCCAAGGGGAGAAAGTTGCAAAAGGATGTACTGCATATCTTGCTGCTCCATCTGAAGACATTTTGCTGCTTTATGCAGAACTCAAGAAGTTCCCTCCCCAACAAGGCTCACCACTACCAGATGTTTTTTTGTATCATTCAGACAATTCCTGTCCTCATCTATCATGAACACACTGGCTGAAACATAGTGTGCTACACTTTATGTGAACATTTGTATAATCCTATCTAGAAGTTCTGCACAGGTCTCTTGTAAACCTGTACAATAGACTATAACAGGGGTTCCCAACCTGTGCTCCAAGGAGCCCTTAAGGCTCCATGTGCACTTCCCAGGTGTTCTACAGCCACTCCAGGAAAATGAAAGAAATAAAAATTGAATGAAATTAAATAATGAGAATATATTCTTATATATACTCCTAAACATCATTAATTTGTAAGACATAGGATATCCTCTTAGGGGCTTCGCCATAGAAATAAGGGCTCCATGAGTCAAAAAGGTTGGGAACCCCTGGTCTGTAGCAACAGCAATAGCAGCTACGTTTCTACATTGCTTCATACTAAATGAAACAGTCTTTAAGTGGTTTACAAAGTGTAAGCTAATTGCCCCCAACTAAAAGCCCTCTAATAAAAGGCTAATATTCAACTCTAGGCACTAATTTTGGCAACCTTGGAAGGATGCCAGGCTGTGTCAACCCTGGAGCCCCTGGTTGGAATTGATCTCACAACCTTATGGCTGTGAGTGAGTGCCTGCAGTATCAGCATTTAGCCAATGCACCACCATTAGGGTCCTGCCTATTGAAATTAATAAAACCAAGGAGATTTAACACATGATAACACACCCACTAGTTTAACCTTGGTCATCAAAATCCAGCCTAAGTAATGCCCTTAGGTTGTTTTGTTTTGTTTTGTTTTTTGTCTTGTTTTGTTTTACCAGATAAAAAGACTTCCAATAATAGGAAAACAAAGAATACCCCCATTACATTCTTTATTAATACAAATCAATTAAATAGAGATTGGTTAAGTATCCATTGCATGAAGCAGGTCTTCAGCTGTCATCTTGTTAAAAACCCTCAGATAGCAGAGTTCATTATGAGATCTGTGCTGGGAAAGCTGCTAAGTCACCAGTTCTGGACCAGGGATCTGACCCCCTATAAAGTAGCTTTTGAGTGTGCACTTTGAGTGTCATATAGGAAATTACAGAAAGTTTAACATTTTTTAAAAAGTTTAACATCTTATATTCAATGGTTTCTATATTCACCAAGGTTTCAGACTATTGAGGAATTGCACTTCTTACATTATTTAGGGAATAAAAACATGATATAGGATTGAATGTTGAAGCTGGGCCTGGCTTCAGCACTCCCAAGTCCCAGATTTATCTGTTCACCAGAGAAGACTCTAGAAGTCCATGCAAATAGCAAGCAGTACCACCCACCTACAAAGAATGATAAGCATCTAGTCCAGCCTCCTGCTCAGTGAAGGACAAGTAAAGCATCCTTACTTATACTCCAACAAAAGTATTTTTGCTAATCCTTAAAACAAATATTTGTTTGTGGATTTACCATCTCCCAGGTGAAGCACAACCCAGTTGGGGGGGGGGTTATACATTCTGAAACATCTGCAAGAATGATGTAAACAAATACTATGAGCAATTTTACTCAACTAATTCTAGTGAAATATTGTGAATTATCTAGATAGATAGATAGATAGATAGATAGATAGATAGATAGATAGATAGATAGATAGATGAGAGGTATATGGACAAACTATTAAACTATGGAAGATTTTTGGAAACATTGTCAGTATGACGAAAGAAGCACAGGGACTGAAAAACTGAGGTTTAACCCATTTGAACCATTCTTCATTTTCCATTTTTAAAATATGTAAGAGTAATAGGGAAGTGCTGAAATCTCAGGTGCAAAATAATATAGGAAATGGTCAATCTAGTTGAAAGCTATCTAATTTGTTCAAAAGAAGAAAATACACTGAGTCATGAAAACCTTCTTTCTTGAGGTGATACAAGTGAAGTCATTATGGGAGGGGAGATAATGCTGTTGAGGGGCCCTGATGTCATGGGCAGCCATACAGGGACAAAGGCAAGGGATAAAAAGGCAAAGCACTCTGACTGAGTACTGTCACTGAAAGGACAGGAAGACACGAAACACAACTCTCCAGTTCTCCCGTGAGGGAAAAAAGTAAGTCTTTTTCTTCACTTCACTGTATTAGTTCTGTGTCTGTCTCTACAAGTGGGAACAAGCAAGGCTAAACAGAGTGCATGGCATGCATGACACCTCCAACCTCATCAAAGTAATTTCGGGACATTTTTGAAGCAGAACCCTTTCCATTTCCAGGTATATTTTGTTGCAGATTGGCTACTGGTGTATATGTGTATGTTTTCCCATGTCTATGTCTGCAGTGATTGCATTTTCCTCTGACAATGGTTTGTTAATGTAATAAAAACCAAAAGGTGTGCTAACTAGCTATCTTAGCACTTTAGTCAAAGCTGGAGTATATCGTTTTTGAAACTGGCAGTAAAAGCAAAGGGAACTGTAAATGTCCAACACTTTGGAATCTGCAAGACTCCCAAGAGTTGGTGTGATTATATACCATAATCTAAATGACTGATATCAATATGAATCCACAGTACAACAAAGAAAGGTAGATTATTATTTTGCTAGCCAGTGTGATACACTGAGCCAGTGTGGCGCAGTGGTTTGAGTATTGGATTACAACTGGAGAGCAGGGTTCAAATCCCAGCTCAGCCATAAAAACCCACTGGGTGACCTTGGGCAAATCACATGAGGATGGCAAGGGCAAACCCCCTCTAATTCTCTGAAGAAACTTGTAAAAAAATATCCTATAATAGGTTCATCTTAGGGTTCCCATAAATTGGAAATAACTTGAAGGCACAATATGCAGAGCTTTCCAATTATGAGACTAATGCAACTCGTACAGTCAGCCAGAGAACCCCATAACTAAGCTGTGGAACAGCTTTTAGGATAGACACTTAGTGACTGAGAGTTGTGCTGTTGTGTTTTGAGCACATAAGTGATCAGTTATCTTTGTGAAGATATCTCGAAAGCTCAGGGTATAATGTGATGATAATATTTGCTGTCCAAACACAGCTGACACAAAATAGGTCAGAATACATCAAGGCAGGAGGAAATAGATTACCTTTCCAAACCAAGAATATGTTCCACATATGAGCTATTGTCACACTACTGAGGCTGCGGGAAGTGCTTTCTACCATCTCTTCCTTTTCCTATTTACTTCCCGATAGCTAATGTGGACTGTCAGGTGTGATCTGTGACTGCTCCTTGCATCCCAGATGCCTAATCACCCCAGTGCCTAAAAATTCATTATTAGCTGTTTGGAATCTGAAATATATTTTCCCCATTCTGCAAAGAGTTGAATATTTTAAAATGACTCTGGCTCACAGAAGATGTTATTTATTTATTTATCTTTTCATTTAAGCTTAAATTCAGTTTAAAGACAATGTAAGAAATAAGGCAACACTTCTGCCCAAAGAGTTTAAAATGATAAATTATTTTACAGAAGTTAACTTCTAAAGGTAGATTAACTGCATAATAAGAAGTTTACAAATAGTGTCATCGTCTCAGTTAGAGAAAGCTTCAGGGGGTCATGTTATTCATTCCTTTTAAAAGCCTTTTCCCCACAACCTCCACCCTTATCACTCACTAACCCTCAAGACTGAGATGGATGGCCTGGTCCTCCTAATCACAGACAGATTTCCTTTTCCCACTTACTGCCATGCATATCAACTGGACTGCAAGGCAAAGCAGGTGGATCCCAACTTCATGGGACATGATCTCTAAAGTGACCAAGGGCCACATGCAGCCCATGGGCTGAGTGTTCCCACCTTTGTCATGTATGGACAGCAGCTCTTTTCTGTTTCAAACATCGACATTCTACCAACTGAGTGTTTGGTACAGAGTAATAGCAGGAGAGAGTAGTAAATCTAATCCCCAGTTAAATCTAGCAATTTATCAGTGCTATCCCATAACCTGTTTTCTAACTGAATATTCAGTTCCAGCAGTCAAATGAGAGATAGAAGTCCACATTTAGCCCCACCATGCTGAAATAGAGGCCCAAATGCCACCTCTTCATGAATATAACAATGAATTAAATTACTTAAAGTTTGCTGTCCTTTAACAGTGCCCCAATATCAGCTGCCCGAGGCAGCTAAAACTGTAGACAAAACTGCATTCAAAAGCCACATTTTCTATACTGATCACCAATAATTCTAAAAAGGTTATACATGTGGTTACAATGTCTTAAGGTGAACATTTTAAAGCTTTATAGGCTACCTTATTTTAGAGGTGAAGCATTTAAGAGCCAGAATAGTGTAGTGGTTTGGATGTTGGACTAGGACTCTAGGAGACCAGGGTTTGGATCTTGGCTCAGCCACAGAAAACCATTAGGTGCTCTTAGACAAATCACACTCTCTCAGCCTCAGAAGAAGACAATGGCATATTCACTCTGAAAAATCTTGCCAAGAAAACGACTTTAAGAACACAATAACAACACATTTTTGAAATCTTTACCATCTCCCAACTTTCTCTGAAACCATGTTCTTAGGGATTGGCACCTCACTTAGGAGCTTATCACTCACCAAATAAGCTGGCTTACCTCTTCTGGCTTCAATCCTAGATATGGGATACCCATGGATGTTATCAGGCATAAATTGCTGCCGATTTAAACCCCTATGCTGCCAGCCAAATCCATCCCAGGTTGAGGCCTCACTCAGCCACCACTTTTTCAAAACTGGGGAGCTTCCAACTTCAAAAATTAGCCAGCTCAATGAGGCTTCAATCCAGGATGGATTTGGCTGGCAGCATCATGGCTAAACTGGCAGCGATTTATATCTCATAACATCCAGGGGTATCCTGGATCCAGGATTGAAGCCGAAAGAGGTAAGCCAGTTTATTTGGTTTATTAGATATCACGCTAGTCTTATCAAAATTCTTTCCTCAAAATGAGTGTTTTTCCTAAGGAAAAATGCTTCCTTGTTTACACTGACTGTTGCTCAAGGTGAACTTAAAGTATAAGAAGTGCCAGGTTGTATCAGACCAAGGGTTTATCTAATCCAGCATTTAGTTCCTTCAATGGCCAATCAGTTGGCTCTGGTAATCCCTTAGGCAGGACATGGGACCTTATCACACGGGGTCTAAAGCAGACAGAACCCTGCCCCATCCCCGTCCCATTGCGGCTCCTTTGCCCGTGTGTTCACATGACATCGCACAGAACCCCATCCCATCCCCGTCCCATCCCCATCCCATTGCAGTTCCTTTTCCCATATGTTCACACGACGTCACAGAGAACCCCGTCCCATCCCCGTCCCAATGCGGCATCATCCCCGTTCTTTTGAATGCCGGTTTCCTGGGGAATTACATTTGTGCGACCAGAATGATACCGGAATGATGCTGCTTTCATTCATTGCGCAATGATGCTAGTTGCGGCTGATAGCAATTTCCGTCTTGTGGGGTCTATACCAGTATAGTTCTGGATTGATTCCATACCACTTTCTTGCCGCTTTGAGACCCGCGTGTGATAACGTCCATGCACACAACTCCATCATCCCTCTCATGCTCTCCAGCAACTGAGAGAGAGAGGCATATTGCCATTGAGATGGAAGGTGACAATATATCTTCTTTGATTAATGAAGGGGCTGCAGAAATGTAATTGTGCACTTTGGTTGGCCCAATAAAGGTATTCTCTCCATGTTATTCCTACCTCTGGTACTAACTTTTCTATTAGAGAAGTAATGCCCAAGAAGTAATATTGACTTTGTCAGTTGAGACAAACCTGTAACCATGCTGCTCAGGTCTATTCATCACCAGGAGGAGAGCAAGGATTCAGTGGCACCTCTGCAGAGCAAGGGAAAGCCACTTCTTTAAGATCTGCTAAGAAGCCCTTATTTCCATTTTCCATGCATCTAAAGGTGAGCCCAAAAAGATGGGCAGAAACAGCATCCTGTAAGGATGCTCACTGAAGTAATAAATAATCACAGAACTGTAGGTATGTAGGTATTATTTTTTTTATCCCATATTTCTGTCAGACTGGGACCCGTGATGATTTACAACATCATTAAAAACAGGTACAAGTAAAAACTAATTATTTTTAGTTTTCCTTGAAAGCTTATACTGAAATATATCATTCTCAAAGGTGCTGCTAGGTCCCTCCTTCTCCCAACACCTTTTCTTTCTTAACATAAGTTATACTTTTAATACTAAGCAGTTAGAATAAAACACAATGATGTTAAAAGCAGTTTTTAAAAAACGCAAATTAATAATAAGCCAATAAGTTTCCACAATTTTATCCCTTATACTTCAAGCTGTATATCCCAGAGATCCTTTCACACAGTTGGGAAGCGTAATTGTACAAAACAATCCTATAAAAGTACGTATTTTGTAGTTGTGTTGTTATGTGCTGTCAAGTTAGCTTCAACTTATAGTGAATGAGAGACCTCTAAGATACCCTATTATTAACAGCCTTGTTAAAATCTTGCAAACTCAAAGCTGTGGCTTCCACCTTTAGTGCGGTCTTCCTCTGTCCTACTGTTTTCCATCTCATTGTTCCAAGTCTTTGCTACTTTCTGCTAGTAATATGGTGTCATCTACATATCTTAAAATGATGATGTTCCTTCTTCCAGTTATCATTCTGAGTCTCATCCCACTTCCTGTATGATGGGTTCTGTGTAAAAATTAAACATATAGCATGAAAAAAATGTAGCCCTGCCCTACCCTCTGGTCAATGGAAAATTATTCTGTTTTACCATCTTCTGTCCTGCCAGTGATCTCTAGTACAAAGTACAGGTTATACATCAGAACAATTAAGTACTGTAGAATGCCTGTTTCTTATTAAATGATACAACATTTTTTATCCTCTACAAAGTCAGACTTTGTTGTAATCTATGACGCACATAGATTCTTCTGAAATTATTTAGTGTTCTCCATTAGCCAACCTATATTTGCAATATGATCTTTAGTGCCTCTTCCTTTTCTGAATCCAGCGTGGAAATCTGGTATTCATCCTTGTCTATGTGATAACAAATCTCAAGCATCCCTTTGCTTGCTTGGCAGATGAGGCCCATGGTCCAATTATTGCTACAATCCCTGGTGTCCCCTGGGGTGTGTGTGTTGGAATATATATTTAACTTTTCCTGCCTGTGCATGATTGTTTTGTTTTCCATTTTTGTAGGCAGTTTTTACTTAGAAATTAGATGGATTGCATTTCTGTTCCTGGTTATTTATTTCTCCCAAGTGCTTTGAAAATGTGAATAGAGAGTTCTTCCATTATCTTTTTACTTTTTTCTGATCATATGTGTTCCACTATTGATCAGTCAGCATTCTTACTCTTTACATTCTTGAATCTTGTTGAAGTCTCTTTTTATTGTTATCTTTTTTTCTTTTTCTTTTTTTGCACGGACACTTATTATGCCTCTGTTTGGCACTCCATACAGTTCATGTTGTTGAATAGTTGTATTCAGTATTCTTATCCTATTTTTGAAGCTTATCACATTCATTTTAAAACCGGCTTACCTGATCTGGCTTAAATTTTAAATTGGGCAGCATCCTGATATTATCAGAAGGATTAAGCCACCAAAATCACTACCTGGGTCCATCCCGGGTCCATCCCCACTTCCAGGGGCATTCAGTGTGCCTCTTTTCGAAGCCGTGAGTGTTCTGGCTTAAGAAAATAGCCCTGGGAGTGGGAATGGACCTGGGATGGAACTGGGTGGTGG